CGATTCCCGGTCCCCCCCCAAAGTGTAAAAACGCGCTACAAGAACCTCAGGACTCTTTTCCCTGTGAAGGTGGAGGAGTGCTACCGGAAGCTGTGCCTGCAGACTCTGCGCTGCATCCGGGCCTTTGTGAGCCGCCAGGAGCCCGGAGGGCAGGTGGGTGTGCGGGCGGGCGGCGGGCAGGGACGGCCCTGATGCTCTGCGCCCCGGCTCGCCCGCACCTGCGGTCTGTGTGTGTCCCCAGGGAGTGCTGTCCTTCGCGGACGTGGCCGTGGTCTTCTCCCAGAAGGAGTGGGCGCGCCTGACCCCCGCGCAGAGGGACATGTACTGGGACGTGATGCTGGAGAACTACAAGCACCTGGTCTCGCTGGGTGAGGCGTCCTGCGGGCGCTGCTGGTGCCCTCCCTGCCCTCGGGCTTCCGTGGATTTCCCTCCCCCTCCTCCTCCCCCTCCACCCGCGCACCGCACCGCACGGCACACCCGCTCCTGCTCCCCGCGGTGACGTCTGCATCCGAGCTGACGCGGGACGGCCATTCTAGAAAACAGCTCAGCGCGGGGCCCCGGTTTGCTCAAGGGGCAGAGAGTGGGCCGCAGGGACACAACTTCCCGGGAGAGCAGGGCGGACGAGACTGTCACACGTTGAGGGGCCGGCCGCACTGTACTTTTCCTCAGTGAAGTAAAGCGTGAGGCCCTGCGCCGTCGGCGCCCACGGACGCCTGTGTCAGTGTCCGTCCCACTCTCTGAGCATTCGTGGGACGCTGCTTGCGGTGGGGAGCGAGGGCAGCAGCTCTGGGCTTTTCCTTCGGCTCCTGCAGTCTCAGTAATTTCCGGCTTGGACATTATCGTTTCCGTGGCTTTTGCATAGGGGTCCTGTCCAGATTTTAATTACATCCCTGATACCTAGAGTACAAACATCAGCTGCAGATTTTTTTTTTCTTTTTTTTTATGGCTCTGGGGAATCGGCTGTCTCTTCACACACCCCACCCCAGCTCACCCCAGTCCCAGCCCTTGACTTTTAATTGTATGTCATATATGTAAAGGGCCGGATATTTAGCTCAGTGGTGCCGTCGCCTGCCTCACAAGCGCAAGGTCCTGAGTTTGATCCCCGGTACCAAAAATACGTACACACACACACACACACACATCATAACAAATGCACGTGTGTGTACAGGCTACCGTGCGACTTCACTTCCTTAACTGTAACTGTTGCATTTCTTGCGGAGAGTTGGTACATGCGCACGACACACCCTAATCCTTCTCTCACTCCCCCCATTTTGCGCTGCCCTTTCCATCTGCAGATCTGTCTCCGTGTCTCCCATCACCTTGTTTTGCTCTTTAATTCCACTCTGAATTTCTCGTGAGAGAAGCCACACGCAATGTGAGGGATATTTGGACAGGACAGTGAGTGGCGCTCACCTCGGGTGGCGGCAGCCCTGTCACTCCGACCCATCCCTTCCGTGGTCCGATCATCCAAACCCTTCCTTCCATTGTGAGGCATGCAGTAAGTTACGGTTAACTGTGGCCTCTCCCTTCCTCTGCCCTGACCTCCCCAGCTTCTGGTAACCCCTGCTCCACCGTCTACTCCTTTTCTGGCTTTTTGTTCTGAGACAGGGTCTCACCGTGTAGTCCGGGCTGGCCTCGAACCACAACAGTCCTCCTGCCTCAGCCTCCCAAGTGCTGGGATTGCACCACAGCCAGCATACCCTGTACTTCTGTGATCAGCTTCTTTAGCATACAAATGGGAGAGAATAAGGGGGATTTGTGTTTCCAGGCCTGGCTTACTTTGCTTAACAGTGTCCTCCGGGCTCATCCGTGCTGCCACAAATGCTAGGATTTTATTATTTTATGGATGACTACAAATACTAGTTTTAGACCCAAATGTCAGCATTTTCTTGCTTCTCAGTGGTTCCATATTTGATTTTCTTGAGTCTTCTGGGTTTGCCACCATTTAATCTACAGAGTGTACCTGAGTTCATCTTAGCTTTGAAATTTGCCCCTAAACTTTTTTTTTTTTTTGTACCGGGGATCGAACTCAGGACTTTGCCCTTGCAATTAATTTCTCTTTATTGGTTGGACATGGTAGGCGACCCTTCCCTGTCCATCTCAGCAGCAGCGCCCCAGGGTGGCCCCTGGCCCTCATGGTACCAGCAGTAGGATCTGTGCTTGAACAAGAGCCCTTGGTGACTCCTGTCCGTTCTACTAGAGAAGTTTGCATGCAGTCAGGTTTTCATTTTCCTTTAAAGGAAAAAAAATCTTAGCCCTTTGGCTAAGATCAAATGTAAAGGAGAAAAACACATTTGATTTTGTTTTGTTTTGAATTCCAGGTATGGAGCCGTCACGTGTAGCTAAGAGTCTAGCTATAGAAAAGAGCTTCTATAAAATCAGTCTTCTCAGAAGGAAGGCACACAGGAGAAGCCAGTCCTGTCCAGCTAGCGGGATGCGCGGAGGTGAGTCTAAAAGGTCCCAAGGGCCTGGAGGGAGGCATCGCAGCCGCCAGGAGCCCCGCTCCGGAAATGGTGCCCCACCTCGGCCCAGCTCCAGCTCGCGGCCGCACAGGGAGAGCGCCTACGAGTGCACAGATTGCGGGAAGGTCTTCAGCCGCAGCTACCAGCTGAGCCAGCACCAGAAGATCCACACTGGCGAGAAGCCCTACGAGTGCAAGGACTGCAAGAAGGCCTTCCGCTGGGGGAACCAGCTCACCCAGCACCAGAAGATCCACACGGGTGAGAAGCCCTACGAGTGCAAGGACTGTGGCAAGGCCTTCCGCTGGGGCTCCAGCCTGGTCATCCACAGGAGGATCCACACCGGGGAGAAGCCCTACGAGTGCAAGGACTGCGGCAAGGCCTTCCGGCGGGGTGACGAGCTCACCCAGCACCTGCGCTTTCACACCGGCGAGAAAGACTACGAGTGCAAGGACTGCGGCAAGACCTTCAGCCGCCTCTACAAGCTCATCCAGCACAAGAGGATCCACAGCGGCGAGAAGCCCTACGAGTGCAAGGACTGCGGCAAGGCCTTCATCTGCGGCTCCAGCCTCATCCAGCACAAGAGGGTGCACACCGGGGAGAAGCCCTTCGAGTGCCAGGAGTGCGGGAAGTCCTTCACGCGTGTCAACTACCTCACCCAGCACCAGAAGATCCACACGGGGGAGAAGCCGCACGAGTGCAAGGAGTGCGGGAAGGCCTTCCGCTGGGCCTCCAGCCTGGTGAAGCACGAGCGCATCCACACCGGGGAGAAGCCCTACAGGTGCGCGGAGTGCGGCAAGGGCTTCAACTGCGGCTACCACCTCACGCAGCACGAGCGCATCCACACCGGCGAGACCCCGTTCAAGTGCAAGGAGTGTGGCAAGGCCTTCATCTACGGCTCGAGCCTGGTGAAGCACGAGCGCATCCACACCGGGGAGAAGCCGCACGAGTGCAAGGACTGCGGCAAGGCCTTCAGCCACAGCCACCAGCTCACGCAGCACCAGAAGACCCACACGGCAAAGCCGCACGTGTGCAAGGAATGCGGCAAGGTCTGCAAGCACTCCAGCCACCTCAAGGGGCACCTGCGGGTTCATAAGAATCTGTAAGCGGGAGAAACAGAGTGCAGCGCGGCTCTACCGCCCGTTCATTCCTTCCTCACCAGGAGGAAGCCACACTTCAATTTAACATCGGGCAGCCTTCCCTGGCCATCCTCACACGCACGGAACACCACCACGAACCCCGGAGGCAGGTGTGCACCAGGCAGAAGCCACTTTTCTGTATGCACGACACATTCATGCCGACACTCGCCGCAGGTGGCTGGGCTGAGTGAATCCCAGAGGCCTGCGCTGCCATCCACCTTTACCACACCGTGGGTTCGTGCTAGGGAACGGCCCAGCTAAGTAATGCGCGCGGGAGCCCGTCATCAGGGCGCCCACCCCGCCACTTCACCCCGTGAGACAGGCCGGCACACACTTCCCGCTGCCCTGTGCATTACACACGCACCCGGCGCGGTCGGGTCACGTCCCAGCGAACCCATCCTGTGCTGGGAATGCCGCAGAGATGCGCCAAGGACACCTGACCGAGCCAGCACTGGGCCTCGTCCAGCATTCCCCAGATGGGCTCAGAATACTCCCACTAGCCGGAACTGGGCCAACCCGTCTAAAAGCCCCTTCAGTGACCAAGTGCTAGGCGTCTCGTGTAATTTATTTAATATTGTACTGAAAGTGAAAATCAGTGGCTATGTGGTTAATGCTTTTGCGCCATTGTAAGTTCTAAAGTCAGTGGTTGTGTGGGTTCGCTTTCGCACCACCCTACAGTTCAAAAATCAGTGGCTGTAGGGCTATACTTGCAGCATTATAAAGTTCAAAAATCAGTGGTTGTGTGGGTCCGCTTGTGCAGCATCCTAAAGTTGAAAAACTGTGAGTTGAAACACCTGTAACTTGAGAGTGTCTGTAACCGTACAATGTCCGTTGTGTGCATTGTCTGTTCATTAGGATAATCAATCTACCTAAGACTGCTGTTGTGGAAATTAAGCGTACGTACATGTAAACTCCTGGACAGTGTGTCCGGAGTACTGTGTCGGCTCAGTAAATATTACCTATTGTTCTTGTGACCATCACCACCTCAGTGTGACTCTTGTGAGCTCTTTATTGCCAGACCACCTGGGAGTGCAGTGAGTTTGGAAGCTCAGGCTTCCTGGAGAAAGCAGAGATTGCCGTCACTGTCTTGAGTTGGTCAGTCACGACTACGGCACAGAAGGAAAGGAACACAAAAGGTTACGTTAGACTTCATCCAAAGCACAAAGCGAGTTGAGAAATGATGCTAAGATAAACAGAAGGCAAGAAGTGGACCAGAAGAGGTGAGCACTCCATTCGCACCTAACAAAGGACCCGCGAAGAAAGTTCAAGGAATCCCTCAAGTTACGACGCAGCAGGAAAGTTAGATGGCCTGAGATGAAGCATTTCGCCAAAGACCGCCAGGTGGCCAACAAGTAAGTGAAGTGTGTTCGACACCATCCCTCACCAAAGAATTACAAACTAAGACACAATGGGATGTCACTAGACAGCCAGGGAGGGCAGAAGTTCAGATTGTAACAGTGTACTTCATGTGTCTCACCACAGAAAAATCAAGGGAAGGGATGGATGTTGGTTTGATCTAGTCATTCCACATTGTACACATGGATAAAATATCATGCCGTATTCTATAAGTGTAATATAAAAAGTAAAAAAATAAATGTAATACAATTACTTGTCAAAAGTAAATAAATTTGTGAAATCACATTGGAGCTGGACTCAGATTTATAACACGGCCTCTTAAGGAAGAAACTGGGCATTGAGCATCCACAGCAAGGACAGCAAGAAGCAGCAGGACCACAGGTGAAGTCCCCCCTGGGTGGGGGAGCCGGTAGAATGCGGGGCGAACCTCAGTCATATGAAAATGGCGTAGAGTGGGGGTGAGAGCCAGGCACGGTGATACACACCTGTTATCCCTGGGAGGAAGCCTGCGGCAGGAGGACTGCAGGTTCAAGCCCAGCCTGAGCAACTTAATGCGAGCCTGTCTCAAAACATACATATTGGCTGAAGAGCCAGGCACAGTGGCTGCACACCTATAATCCCACCTCTCAGGAGGCTGAGGCAGGAGGATTGCCTTGAGTTCAAGGCCAGTTTGAACCGCACAGTAAGACGTTATCTCAATTGGCTGGAGACAGCTCAGTATGAGGCCCCCCCCCAAAAAAAGGAGGTAGAACTGTCATGGGAAAGCCTGGCACCTGAAGGAGGGATCTGACACACGGCTGGGGAGGGCAGGAGTCCCGGGGACTGGGCTGGGTGGGGAAGGAATGGCAGGAGCCCAGAGCCGTGTGCTGGAGACTGAAGAACAGCAGAGTCCAAGAGGTCAGCTTCGAGAGCTGCAGTGTGCCCGTCGGGACAGCCGGGAGAGAGCGGGACAGAGCAGAGCCCACGGGAGGCGCACCAGACGCCGCGAGTGCAGTGGCCGCAGCCCAGGTGTCCATGAGGCTGGCAGTGCAGAGCGCAGGGCCGAAGTGTGCTGTGCACTGCCTTTGTCTCAGGCTGCGGGCACTCGAGGCCCTGGGTCAGGCAGCCCTGCGTGTGCTCGTGGGGTGCACGACAGATTCGGGTTCCAGAGTGGGGATTCTCCCTGGCCGTGGCCTCAGACCCGACAGCCATCTACAGCCCCACCTCTCCTGTGGACACAGGAGACCAAAAAGGAGTACAAAACAGTTCAATAAGGCATTTGGCAAACTCACAGAAGACAGTAAGGTCGGGCCAACTAAATAAGTCTAAAGGAGCTCGACAAAGAGGAGCTAAACAAGGTGACCTAAAGCATGCACGACCAGCATAGAAAAGAGTCAGCGTCCGTGGAAGGGCTCCGAAAAGAAAGACTGAAAACTACTGAGAACACAGGCGGCAGAAGTGAGCAGCACGAGCTCAGCCTCAGAGCTGGAAGGCAGGGCTGTTGTCCACGACCGATACCTTAAAACCGAGAGCATGAAGGGCAGCCACGCTGTGCCCCGATGATGTAAAGACTCATCTAAGGCTCGTGGAATTAGAGAAAAATAGCAAGATAGCACAAATGGCACAGAAAACCTGTTTACAGAAATGATAGTCAAAAACCTTCCGAGTAGGGTAGAAGAATGTAACATACAGGTAATTGAGGCACACAGAATCCCAGAGACCATCAGAAAAAAACCCTCCACAACACAGTCAAAACCCTAGAAATCTAGCACAATGGAATGTGAAAAGGAGTTGGACAAAAACAAAGATCACTCTTAAAGGAAAACCCATTAGAATCACAGCAAACCGGGGCCAGGCACGGGGGCTCACGCCTGTAATCCCAGCACTCGGGAGGCTGAGGCATCAGTTCGCTGTGAGTTCAAGACCAGCCTGGGCTACGTAGTGAGTTCCAGGTCAGTCTCAGCTACAAAATGAGACCCTGTCTCAAAAATCAAAACAAACAAACATAAAAAAATGAATTACAGCAGACTTCTCAATACAAACTTTAAGAGAGCTTGGAATGGAGTCTTAAAAAGAAATCAATTCCAGGGCCGGGGATTTAGCTCAGCGATTAAAGTGCCCTGCCTCGCAAGCACAAGGACCAGAGTTCAATCCTCAGTTCCAAAAAATAAAAAATAAAATAAAAAGAAATCAAATCCCATCCTAGGTTAACAGAGCCTGCAAAACTATATTTCAAAATTGATGGAAAAATAAAATACTTTTCATGACTAAAACCACCTAAAGAAACGCATGACCACCAATCCAGCACTCCAAAAAATTCTCCAGGATACCCTAGGCAAGAGACAATGAAACTAAGTGACAAAGCTCTAACAATATATACACCACCTTGAAGAAGCAGTTAAGTCCAAGAGAAAGATAGGGAATCAACAACAGAAAAATAGGGCCAGGGATTTAGCTCAATGGTGCGACTGCTTGCCTCGCAAGTGCAAGGTCCTGAGTTTGATCCTTGGCACACACACACAAAAAAAAGGAAAATAAGACCATGATAATAAGTCAATACCTATGAGTAATAACTCACACTGTGAATGGCTTGATTCTCCAATTAATTTGTTATTTGGTTTCAATGTTGTTGTTGTTGTTGTTTGGGTACCGGGGACAGAACTAGGGAACTTGTGCTTTCGAGGCAGGCGGAGGCACTACTGAGCTAAATCCCCGGCCCTCATTTCCCCAGTTAAAGGACACAGAGTGGATCAAGAAACACAATGCAATGGTAGAGCCACGCGTGGTGGTGCACACCTGTAATCCCAGCACTCGGGAGGCTGAGGAAGGAGGATCACTGGGAGTTCGAGACCAGCCTGGGTTACAGTGGGAGATCATCTCAAAATAAACCCGATGGTACTGTGTACAAAATAATCACATCTAACCCAAAAAAGAAACAGACTAAAAAAGGATGAGAAACCATATCCCATAGAGTAAAACCCCCCACCAAACAAAAGCAAATGTAACCGTCGTATATTCAGATTGCAAGCCAAAACTGATCAAAACAAAGAAGGTCACTACCTATTAGTTAAGGGGAAAAGTCCAACAGGAAGAAGTAACAATTATTAACAAACAGTGGTGTACCCAGCTTCATAACACAAGGACTACTGGACATGAAAGATGACATCAGCACAATCACAGTGGGGGACCTCAATACCCCACTAACAAATAGATAACTAAACAAAAATATCAACAAATAGAGGTGAACAAAATCTCCAAACAGATTTAACAGATATCTGCAGAGTGTTCCACCCAACAACAGAATACATTCTTATCAGCACATGGAACTTTCTCCAAAATAAAAGAATTACATGCCAGGCAATAAATCAGCCTTAAGCAAATGTAAAAGAATTGAAATTATACAGTGTTTATCAGTCCATAACTCAATGAGTTAGAAAAGAAAGCACAGAACTATACAAATGCATGGAAACTAAACAATACACTCTTAACTAAACAATGGGGTGCAGAAGAAATAAATTACTTTCTAGAACTAAATTATAATGCCAGTACAACAAACCAGAACTTATGGGACCCAATGAAAGCAATCTTCTGAGAGAAGTTTATTAACTGTGAATGCCCACAAAAACAACACACCCAAATAAATAACCTAATACCTCAAGGTCCTAGGAAAACAAGAATAATCCAAGGCCACAGAAAGTATAGGGAAGGAAAGTATAAAGATCTCAGCAGAAATCAACGAAAATGAGACCAAAAAGCCATACAAAGAATTATTGAATCTAAAAGTTGTTTTTTCCAAAAAAATAAAGTGGACAAATTCTTAGGCAATCTAACCAAAAAAAAAAAAAAAAAAAAAAAAAAAAAAAAAAAAAAAAAAAAGGACAGAGAAACACCCAAATCAGTGTAAATAGGAACGAAGGAGGTGAAATCACTATGAACACTAACAAGATAAAAACATTATGACTGACTACCTCATAAATCTGCACACTAATACATTGGAGAAATTAGACAAAATGGGTAGATTCCTAAATACATATGTTATCCAAGTTGAACCAAGAAAATCTTAAAACCCTGAATAAGCCAATAACAGGCAGTGAAACTGAAGCATAGTAAATAACCTACCAACTAAGAAAAGCCCAGATCCACACAGGTTCACCGCTGAATTCTAAAGGAAAACCTGACACTAGCATTCCTCAAGCTTTTTAATGAAACTAATTTGCAAAGAGTGGCTCATTTCTGGAAGCCAGCATCACTCTGATCCCCAAAGCAAAGAGCCAACTAAAAAACTACAGAGGACCCTTGACTTACAAACTCAATTCATTCCTGAGTGTTGGTTGTAACTCAAGTCTGTCAAAGTCTCTCCTGTTTACAGGTAGACCTCAGTGTCCTCAGAGAGACGCTGGCCCGAGATTTCTCAACCCCACACAGGGAAGGATGTTGTAATGTTCCTTCCAGAACTCTTTAAGGGTTAAATCTGTATCTAAGCGCACGCCTGTAATTCCAGCATTGAGGAATCTGAGGCAGGAGAATCACTGTGAGTTCGAGACCAGCCTGGGCTACATAGTGAGTTCCAGGTCAGTCTCAACTACGTAGTGAGACCCTGTCTCGAAAAAAAGAATCTGTATCTGAGATCATCTGGTTGTAGCTCAAGACTTTGTTCATAAGTTAAAACCAAAATTCCAGTCATAATCCAAGTTGTTTGTATGCCAGGCCAGTCATAACTTGAGCATCCACTCCACAGGGTAGTCTCCTTAATGAATACAGACACAAAACTTCTCAAGAAGATATTAGCAAACAGAACGCACCACATCATCGAAAGGATCATATACATTGTGATCAAGTAGGTTTCATC